TGCAATAATAAATTCTATTCTCTATATACCATTATACAATAAAGATATGAACTCTATTAAGCTGTATTTCGATCAATTTATATAAATAAAGAAGTTTGCACTTTATTTACGCACAACTGTCAAAATATACATACGATGACAGCCGTTTACAAAATAAGCGCAATGAGAGAACCAATCGTCGCGGAACAAAGCCAACAATAAACTTCAAGAATTTTCGATAATTCGAGTATCGATTTAATATGGTTTTTTTTTTTAGATAGGAGAATCTGTCATTCTCTGAAATTTGTCCCAGGATGTTTTGGAACATCCTATATATAAATAAAATAATAAATTTAATTTTAATTTTATTTTAAGTTTACCTTAGTTACCTCTAAACTAAACAAATTGACATACACTCTGTAAAATTAGAATTGATGAACAAAATTAGGGATATTGATTTTTTGATATTGATTTACTGAATTCTATCGATTTGACAGATGTATTTGAATATCTATGTTTTCTCGCGAGAAAGATACTGCGTTCAGCGGCAATACGTTTCAGTTAATTTGTTGTAACATATTATTACTTGCGGCGCGCTATTTGTATAAGGCTGGATATTATAACAATAAAATATGTAAACAATAATAAATATAAGATGTAATAATAGTTCAGTCGTGAGATATTCACACCAACATCCGTGTCGGCTCGCATTAGACTTTACTTCGTTATGTATTTCTGATCTATTCTTGGGAGCCTAATTTCTTTTAATTTAAATTTATTTCAATCATCACACTGCCTGAAAAATGTGTCAACACATTGTTTATATAATAGTTGTGAGGAATATTATCACATGTCTCGGTCAAAAATCGAATGGTAGAACGCTCACCTGGCAACTAGGAAGATTCAGGTTCGAGTCCTGGGTAAGGTGATATTTTTCGCAAATAAATTCTTCAAACAAATTTTTCAACAAATTCTTTACAGTTTGTATGCGCACTAGACGCAACAAGTGACCGATAAATGAACGCTATATCGAAAGATAACAAGCCAATAATTATTTTGAAACATTGATAAGGATGCCTTATTTCGTAACGTAAAAATGCTGCAATTATTATAAATTGTGTAATGAGAGCTTTTAAGAACCGTATATATAGAGCCAAGTCACAAAGCATATACTACGTAACGTTCTGCAAGTCACCATTATCGCAACTTCGTTTGTAAAATACGTGGCTATTGGCACTAATCCTGAGCGAATATTTATTGTACCAAAAAATGGGGCAATTTTTGTTTCTGTTAATTTTATCGATGGCAACTGTCAGCTTTGGCGTCGAATATAAACTCGAGTACGCATTTGATCACATTAATTTTGAATGGCAGTCTCAGAAGCAGATGGAGGACGCAATACGTTCTGGCGATTATAACATCAGCAGATGCTTTTTGTACGATGTAGATCAAGCAAATGGTAAGCTAACGATAAATTATTCCAGAAATTATACATACATACAACATTCGTACATACACACAGGCCCATGATAGGGTGCGTTCCACTTAACGCCCACAACGACTACGACCGCAATATTTGCCGTTCCACTTGCTTATGAATAGAAAAGCACACGGAAAAAACGATTTTATTGAAAGGTCTAAAAATTTTGCTAAAAACAGATCTGAAAA